CATACATACATACATACATACATACATACATACATACATACATACATACATACATACATACATACATACATACATACATACATACATAAATTGTTTTTCCAAATAGCCACTAACTTCCTCAGTGTCTTTTTATTTTGTGGTTATTTCAATTATTAATGATTCTAAAATGTACACAAACAAGTGGGTGGGTTTTCTGGTAAAACTGATTCATTATCAAGACTTGATGACAAATGATGAAAAATGCAGGCGCACCAGTTCCTGCATGTAAACTGATTAAAGTCCCAAACATGTGGATTCCTCAGAAGGCTGTATATGTATTTAACCAGAACTGAGTGTGAATCTCACTGAGCCTGGAAACAAAGTTGCAAAATAAGCTAAACCTCTGTAGCTCTTAGCGGTTTATTAACTGTTCAACAGCGCCCCCTGCTGACAGAAAACTGCTTTAACTAAAGGAGAAGATAAAACAACAGGACGCCATTTGATTTTTGTTTTATGTGTAGTTAAATAACTAAACAAATTTAATAAAAATTAAAACAAAGTTAGATAAATTTCACACGTTAATAAACAAATAAAATAAATGAGTATTTTCCTTATGTGAAACATCCAAACTGTCATTAACCCATAGTTTTTTTTTTACATGCAGCCATAAATAAATGGATGTGAGCTTATGAAGTTTAGGTAAAACAAGAGAATTTCTGTAACAGTATTCAAAAACATTGATTTGTCTGAATTACTGTTTTATACTTTGATTAGGCCTTTTTATTTCGTTTTTTCCTGACGTTAAACTCAAGGTTTTGCAAAAAAATAAAATAAAATAAAATTAAAAAATCCCTTCTCCTCAGTCCAAAGTTAATTTCACCCTTACAGCTCCAGAGCTGAGTGGATTTATTTATTTATTTATTTATTTATTTATTTATTTATTTATTTATTTATTGATGATGATGATGATGATGAAATGTCAGAACACAGCACGGAGCCTTTTTGTTGTTGTCGCATACTTTTAGGTTTTTTAACTAGCAAAACCAAGTCAGAGCCGAGTTTGATCCTTCAACTGTGTTTTTATCAAGGCTTTGGCTGAAATTGAAAACATTCACAGGCCCTACCTTCAACCTCACCTCTAAGGCATGACCCTGTGAGCAGATTTTGTAACATCACAACAAGTCAATCCACTAGGCATAAAAAAATGTTATTTTTTTTGTTTGTAATTTTTAACAGTATCCTTAAAGGTTCTGAAAGCGATGAGAGGAGGAAACAGGAAACAGGAAATGCCAAACAAATTATTTTTTTTCTCAAGGCGTCACACTCAGATTTTTCATATTAGACAAAGCTTCTGATACTAACTTGATTTCAGAGAAAAGGCAACACATAAAATAAATAATAAACACAATAAAAAACTAATCAAACAGGCTTAATAAAATTATAGAAATATTTTAGTT